CACACACACGCAGCTGTAACACACACACAGCTGTAACACACACACAGCTGTAATGCACACACACACAGCTGTAATACACTAAACACACAACACAGCTGTAATAACCAACACCACACAGCTGTAACACACACACACACAGCGTAACACAACACACGGCTGTGGTGGTACCTGGCGGGTAAAACCGGTTTCGAAAACCGGTTACCGGTTCGGGGACCAAAAAGTGTGGGGGGGGGATCAGGAGCCGGTTAACGGTTTTTTTTTCCGGTTTGGAAAACCGGTTTCAGGAAAACGGTTAACGGTTTCGGTTGCAACGCCAAACGGTTCGGAGAAGGTAGGGGGGTGACCATGTTAAACCGGTTTCAGAAAACTGAATGGTTTCGAAGAACCGGTTACCGGTTTTAGGGGTTGATGGTGGTGTGGTGCTGCGTGTGGAGTAAACATCGCACCACTGGGGGAGAGTTGTGTGGTGCTGTCCACCCACCCCCTGTTGTGTGGGTGATTGGTGGGGTGTGGGTGAGTTGGTGTGTGGGTGAGTTGGTGACTGTGTGGGTGGGTGTAGGTGACAGTGTGTGGGTGAGTGAGTGAATTGGTGTGGTGAGTTGGTGGGTGGGTGTAGGTGACTGTGTGTGGGTGGGTGTAGGTGGGTGGGTGGGTGTAGGTGACTGTGTGTGGGTGGGTGTAGGTGACTGTGTGTGGGTGGGTGTAGGTGACTGTGTGTGGGTGGGTGTAGGTGACTGTGGGTGGGTGGGTGTAGGTGACTGTGGGTGGGTGGGTGTAGGTGACTGTGGGTGGGTGGGTGGGTGTAGGTGACTGTGGGTGGGTGTGTGGGTGTAGGTGACTGTGGGTGGGTGTGTGGGTGTAGGTGACTGTGGGTGGGTGTGTGGGTGTAGGTGACTGTGGGTGGGTGTGTGGGTGTAGGTGACTGTGGGTGGGTGTGTGGGTGTAGGTGACTGTGGGTGGGTGTGTGGGTGAGTAGGTGACTGTGTGTGTGGGTGGGTGAGTAGATGACTGTGTGGGTGAGTAGGTGGGTGTGGGTGAGTGGTGCTGGCCACCCACCCCCTGTGTGTGGGTGGGTGTAGGTGGGTGTGGGTGGGTGTAGGTGACTGTGGGTGAGTGGTGCTGGCCACCCACCCCCTGTGTGTGTGTGAGTGGTGCTGGCCACCCACCCCCTGTGTGTGTGTGGGTGAGTGTGACTGTGTGAGTGTCGGTGTGTGGGTGGGTGGGTGAGTGTCAGTGTGTAGGTGGGTGAGTAGGTAACTGAGTGAGTGTCGGTGTGTGGGCGAGTGGGTGAGTGGTGCTGGCACCCACCCCCTGTGTGTGTGGGTGAGTAAGTGAGTAGGTGAGTGGGTAGGTGTGTGAGTGACCCGCTGCTACTAACAGCACTTTCCCCTACAGCGCCGTTAGAGGCTACCTGGGGGAGCTTTCTCTTTGTGTGTGGTCACTGAATGATCGAGTGGGTCGGTGAGTGAGTGAATGGATGGGTGAGTGTGACACTTGGGAAGACAAAGGCGGCCGGGGGTGGTGCTGGCCACACCAATCCCTCTGGTCACAGTGGTGGCCTTCATAGACGCTGCTGATGCTGCTGCTAATTGCAGCACTTGCCCCTACATCATTGCTAGAGGCTACCTGGGGGAGCTTTGTCTTTGTGTCTATAGGCGCTGCTGCTTCTGACAGCACTTGCCCCTACAGCACTGCTAGAGGCTACCTGGGGGAGCTTTGTCTTTGTGTCTATAGGCGCTGCTGCTACTGACAGCACTTGCCCCTACAGCACTGCTAGAGGCTACCTGGGGACCTTTGGTTGTAGGTTCGATCCCGACCCTGACGATGCCTGCTGCTGCTGTATATTGGGAGTCCGTGTCTCTCCCCCATTGGTGAGCTGTTAACTACCTCACCCGGTACGCAGGAGGTCGTGGGTTCGATCCCGGACCATGAGCATGCCTGGCTGCTGCTGCATATTTGTTGGGGGCTGTATCTGTCTGTCTCTGTGTCTCTGTCTGTGTGTGTCTGTCTCTGTCTGTCTCTCTCTGTGTCTCTGTCTGTGTGTGTCTGTCTGTCTCTGTGTCTCTGTGTCTCTGGCTGTGTGTGTCTGTCTCTGTTTGTGTGTCTCTCTCTGACGATCAGAAGAAGCAACACGATGCTCTGTTTAGTCGGCACTTTGATTCGTTCATCATTTCGGTGTTTTTATTTCCCCCCCCCCCCCTATTACTTTGCTTTGTGCCGCTGTGCAACACAAATTCAATCTGTGGTGCCGCTTGCTTCGTAGACACAAACATCAAGACGACGTAGCAGCACGCTCCGCTCCTACCTCTACCCCTTCTCTCTCTCTTTTTTTATTTTGCGTGGAAGTCGTTTATTCCACTATTTTGCATAATTTCTTAATCCACCCACAAACTCTCAAAACGCTCTCCCCTTAAACTTTCGAACGTCATTGTATTATAAAAGCCAAAGTCGGCATTCATGCCACGAAATGTCAACGTTCCGTATCCACTTCTTTAAATGCACCAATTTTGATACAGTTACAAAAAAACACCTATAGAAACTTTCTCTACCCCCCCTCTCTCTCCCTCTACCCCCTCTCTCCCTCTACCCCCCCCCTCTCTCCCTCTACCCCCTCTCTCTCTACCCCCCCTCTCTCTCCTCTACCCCCTCTCTCTCTCTACCCCCCCCCTCTCTCTCCTCTACCCCCTCTCTCTCTCTCTACCCCCTCCTCCTCCCCTCTCTCTCTCTCTACCCCCCTCTCTCTCCCTCCCCCCCTCTCTCTCTCCCCCCTCCTCTCTCTCCCCTCTCTCCTCTCTACCCCCTCTCTCTCTCTCTCTACCCCCCCTCTCTCTCTCCCCTCTCTCCCCCTCTCTCTCCCTCCCTCTCCTCCCCTCTCTCTCTCCCCCTCTCTCTCTCTCTACCCCCCTCTCTCTCTCTCTACCCCCCTCTCTCTCTCTCTACCCCCCCTCTCTCTCTCTCCCCCCTCTCCTCTCTCTACCCCCCTCTCTCTCTCTCTCTCTCTACCCCCCTCTCTCTCTCTCTCTCTACCCCCCTCTCTCTCTCTCTCTACCCCCCTCTCTCTCTCTCTCTACCCCCCTCTCTCTCTCTCTGCTACCCCCTCTCTCCCTACTCTGTCTATGTTCCCCCTATGTTTTCTATGTGCTGCATCTGCACCCAGCCCTTCTCGCAGTCCAACGGCCTCCGACAGGTTGCTCATAATCTGCATGCAGAGCTCCCCGTTATCTGCCACCGAGCACACGGCCTCCAGCGCCCACTGCTCCTTGAAGGCCGGCACGGCGTGGGTCAGCCATGCACGGCGGAACTCCGGCCCACACACCGTGGCTCCGACCAGAGCGCGGAGGATGCCCACGCTGCTGGCCGGACGTTTCCTCTCCAGGGCCACCTTCCTCGCCCTGTAAATGGCGAGCTTGGCGTAGCCGACGAGCACGTTGACCAGCCCCTGAAGATGTTGGGGTCCGTCGCCCTTCGGGTATCCAAAGATGAGGACCGTCGGGGAGAAGTGGAGGCTGAACCTTAGGAGGATGTTTCTCAGGACCTTGAACAGCGAGTCCAGGCTCTTGCACTCCACGTATTGGTGCGCCACCGTCTCCACTTAACCGCAGAACCGGCACTCCGGGGATGTGTCGGTGAAGCGCGCCGGGGAGGCGTTGGTGGTGACGGTGCCGTGGGCGATTTTCCAGCCGAGGTCGCCGATGCGGTCGTACATCGGGCTGGAGTAGAGTTTCCTCCAGCGAGGCCTCTCCGGAGAGACGCAGGGCAGGGCTCTCCTCCAGGCACATGGTCCTTGTGGCTCCTCAGGGTGTCCTGTTGGTGAAACCGGACCATGTAGGAGTAGAGCACCTTCCTCTTGACATTTTCGAAGGCCACCTCCGGTAGGTCTTCGAGCTGGCACGGGTCATGATCCGCCTTCGCTTGTCGGCATTGGCGATGCAGTGGCACGACGAGAGGGGCTTCGCCATCCCCAACGCCGATGGGGGGGTGGGGGGGGGGCGTTTTCCCCCGCTGCCGCTGAGAAGGCCCCCTTGGCTTCGGCTAGGATCTGGGCAACCACCCAGAGCGACTGCAGCCCCTGTCTTTGCGGCCATGTCTGCTGGTCCGAGCCACCGGCCCCGTGTTCCAGGCTCCACCAGATCTCCCATCCCGGTGAGCCGCGCATTGGCGAGGCGCCTCTCCATGCTGGGGGTGGCGGTTGTGGATGGCAGCTTTTGTCTGCGGGTTCCTGAGGATCGGTTCGAAGACCAGATCCTCGGCCGATCGCGGCTGGTTCAGCTTCCTGACGGCAAGGGAGCTCCATGTCTACAGGACGTTTCTGTAGAAAGGTGGCAGCTGTCCCAGATGCGAGGTTTTCTTTCTCTATTTCCCCTCCTTTTTTCTTTTTTAAATGTGCAAAAGTTTAATATATGTGAGACCTCCTTTACCAGTGGCAAAATATAGTAATAGGTTTTTACCCTTTCAACTGGTACAAAAACTGACACCTTTATACAAGGCATCATGTTTGCAATAACCACAACACAAGCAGTCAAGATGCAAACAAAAATAAACAACTCTGATGATGATAATGATATGCACTGTCCTTGAAGTTGATTGGTCCACACCCGAGACAGCTTTTTTTAGAGCCTAGTTTCCATTGGTGTTGGACCAGATGACGCCAAAAGGAGTACAACTCAAAGACGGTGCACTATCAGAGTTTTGAGAGCTTGGGGTAAGCACTTACACTGAGACCTCCTTTACCAGTGGCAAAATATAGTGTCCTACCAATCAGAGGGCCGGCCCTGTTTTCCCACCGTTTGTGGCTCTCCCCCCTCCCCCTACCTGCCTGCTGGCCCGTGTGTGTTTTCTACCCGCGGTGGCTGGGCAGCCCCGTCGTGACCATGTAATTACCGCCCAAGTCACGGCGCCGTTGTGCGAGTTAGCCTCGGGGGAGATCGCCCAATTCCTTGGCCGTAGGAAACCGTGAAGATTAGTCCCATGGGAGGGCTTCTGGGTGAAAACCTGTCGGCCACGTGACCTCCCCTCGGGCTCCACGTGGGGGTGTGCGTGCGTGCCTCCTGTATACCGGGCGAGGTAGTCAACATCTAGCCAATGGAGCTGCATTATTTTAAGTTCAAGGTGAGACATCTACCCCGGGGGGCTCCAATTCACAGCACTAAATAGGACAACCAACCCTCGTCCAAATCCGCACTCAAAAAATGATTGGGACCAGGTCCTGGACTCTGATTCTATTTCCAGTTCTAAATTAACTTCTTCATGTTCCAAATTCACTTTCCCACGTTCCAGGCTCACTTGAGAAGCTGTGCATTTTCTCCCTTGTGCATCTGCTTGTGATTATCTCGTAGGTTGTGACCAATTTAAAACCCTTCCCACACACCGCACTTGAAGCATTTCTCTTCTGTGCGTATTTTCTGGTGTATGCGCAGATTTCCTTTCTATGAAAATGCCTTTCCACACACACTGTATTTTAAGAGTTTCTCGTCTGTTCTCTTGTGCTGGGCCGTACCCCTTCTCCCCGTGTGTGCCGTACGGACACCGGGGTGTTCGCATTACGTGCCGGGAGCCGCGCGGAAACCTTTTTTCTCTGCTCCCGTGCACGAGTTCGTCCTCGTGTGGTGGTGGAAGAGGTTCGACGTTTCGTGCCGCTAACACGCACGGTTGACTTGCGCGCGGCTGTGATCGCGCGAGCCACCGACTTCCCCCCCCCCCCCTCCTTGTTCGAGGCCGAAGCAAATTGTATTCGTCCCAGATTCATCCATAGCTGGTGGGGGGTGAGGCTCTATGACCACGGGAGATGGGTCGTTCTCCTTGGCTATGTCGCCTTCATCGTCCACGGTCTCCTGCTTGGGCAGCCCCTTCCCCCAGACGCACGCTGTTGCTTCCTCCTCCTTGGCAAGTTTCTTCCTCTCCGCCCGCTCGCCACTCGGCGCGGCGTCTGGGATGGCAAAAACCGCCTCTTTGGCGTCCGCTCCCTCCCCTGGTGTGTGGGAGGTTTCACAACTTCTTCTTCCGGCTCCAGGTCTGGGAGGTGTTTCTTGTGGGGGCTGATCTCCCCACTCCCTCCACCCCCCCCCCCCCCGCTCCCTCCTCGTTCACGTCTCGCTGGGCCCCCCCCCCCCCCCGCACCAGCGCCCTCTCTGACATAGCTAGCGGCTGGCAGATACCGCTTAGGGGTTCGTGACGTGTGCGCCCCCCCCCCACTCCACTCACGGGTCCACACTCGCTAACCACGCGGATTGCGTAACATTGATTAAATGACCGCTCAACAAGCCCAACCGGCTGCGCTCGGAGGTAATTGATTACACTCTATATTTTTCGATTTAAAGCTTTCGTGACTGCAGGGATTCATCTTCTTGGTTGTTGCAGTAAAGTCACGTAGAAGGGAAATAACAGAAAGACAGCGTCTTTCCTCGCCTGTTCTCTTGTGCTGGGCCGTACCCCTTCTCCCCGTGTGTGCCGTACGGACACCGAGGTGTTCGCATTACGTGCCGGGAGCCGGGCAGAAACATTTTTTCTCTGCTCCCGTGCACGAGTTCGTCCTCGTGTGGTGGTGGAAGAGGTCCGACGTTTCGTGCCGCTAACACGCGCGGTTGACTTGCGCGCGGCTGTGATCGCGTGAGCCACTGACTTCCCCCCCCTCCTCCTCCTTGTTCGAGGCCGAAGCAAATTGTAATTCGTCCCAGATTCATCCATAGCTGGTGGGGGGTGAGGCTCTATGACCACGGGAGATGGGTCGTTCTCCTTGGCTATGTCGCCTTCATCGTCCACGGTCTCCTGCTTGGGCAGCCCCTTCCCCCAGACGCACGCTGTTGCTTCCTCCTCCTTGGCAAGTTTCTTCCTCTCAGCCCGCTCGCCACTCGGCGCGGCGTCTGGGATGGCAAAAACCGCCTCTTTGGCGTCCGCTCCCTCCCCTGGTGTGTGGGAGGTTTCACAACTTCTTCTTCCGGCTCCAGGTCTGGGAGGTGTTTCTTGTGGGGGCTGATCTCCCCACTCGCTCCACCCCCCCCGCTCCCTCCTCGTTCGCGTCTCGCTGGGCCCCCCCCCCCCCCCCCCCCCGCACCAGCGCCCTCTCTGACTGACATAGCTAGCGGCTGGCAGACACCGCTTAGGGGTTCGTGACGTGTGCGCCCCCCCCCCCCCCCACTCACGGGTCCACACTCGCTAACCGCGCGGATTGCTTAACATTGTTTAAATGGCCGCTCAACAAGCCGACCGGCTGCGCTCGGAGGTAGTTGATTACTCTATATTTTTCGATTTAAAGCTTTCGTGACTGCAGGGATTCATCTTCTTGGTTGTTGCAGTAAAGTCACGTAGAAGGGAAATAACAGAAAGACAGCGTCTTTCCTCGCCTGTTCTCTTGTGCTGGGCCGTACCCCTTCTCCCCGTGTGTGCCGTACGGACACCGAGGTGTTCGCATTACGTGCCGGGAGCCGGGCAGAAACATTTTTCTCTGCTCCCGTGCACGAGTTCGTCCTCGTGTGGTGGTGGAAGAGGTCCGACGTTTCGTGCCGCTAACACGCGCGGTTGACTTGCGCGCGGCTGTGATCGCGTGAGCCACTGACTTCCCCCCCCCCCTCCTCCTTGTTCGAGGCCGAAGCAAATTGTAATTCGTCCCAGATTCATCCATAGCTGGTGGGGGGTGAGGCTCTATGACCACGGGAGATGGGTCGTTCTCCTTGGCTATGTCGCCTTCATCGTCCACGGTCTCCTGCTTGGGCAGCCCCTTCCCCCAGACGCACGCTGTTGCTTCCTCCTCCTTGGCAAGTTTCTTCCTCTCAGCCCGCTCGCCACTCGGCGCGGCGTCTGGGATGGCAAAAACCGCCTCTTTGGCGTCCGCTCCCTCCCCTGGTGTGTGGGAGGTTTCACAACTTCTTCTTCCGGCTCCAGGTCTGGGAGGTGTTTCTTGTGGGGGCTGATCTCCCCACTCGCTCCACCCCCCCCGCTCCCTCCTCGTTCGCGTCTCGCTGGGCCCCCCCCCCCCCCCCCCCCCCCCGCACCAGCGCCCTCTCTGACTGACATAGCTAGCGGCTGGCAGACACCGCTTAGGGGTTCGTGACGTGTGCGCCCCCCCCCCCCACTCACGGGTCCACACTCGCTAACCGCGCGGATTGCTTAACATTGTTTAAATGGCCGCTCAACAAGCCGACCGGCTGCGCTCGGAGGTAGTTGATTACTCTATATTTTTCGATTTAAAGCTTTCGTGACTGCAGGGATTCATCTTCTTGGTTGTTGCAGTAAAGTCACGTAGAAGGGAAATAATAACAGAAAGACAGCGTCTTTCCTCGCCTGTTCTCTTGTGCTGGGCCGTACCCCTTCTCCCCGTGTGTGCCGTACGGACACCGGGGTGTTCGCATTACGTGCCGGGAGCCGCGCGGAAACCTTTTTCTCTGCTCCCATGCACGAGTTCGGCACAACGCTGCGTAGATGTCTGGGGGGGGGTTTGAGCGCTTTTCTTCATGGTGGTGAGGTTACCACACTAAACTATTTCCTCGTGTGGTGGTGGAAGAGGTCTGACGTTTCGTGCCGCTAACACGCCCGGTTGACTTGCGCGCGGCTGTGATCGCGCGAGCCACCGACTTCCCCCTCCTTGTTCGAGGCCGGAGCAAATTGTATTCGTCCCAGATTCATCCATAGCTGGTGGGGGGTAAGGCTCTGACCACGGGAGATGCGTCAATCTCCTTGGCGATGTCCCCATCTTTCGGACGCTGTCTTTCCGACAGACCTGTTCGTCACCTGAGGACGGCTGCTTGCGTTGTGGCCGAAACGTCGTGAGAATGATTTTATTATGTTTTATTATTTTATTATTTCCATTCTATGTGACTTTACCGAAAGAACCAATAAGATACTCTCTATATTCTTGGTTTTTTTCGGTAAAGTCACGTAGGTAAAAAATTGAAATTAATAAAAGTAAAATAAAAATAAAATACAAATCACGACGTTTCGGAGGCAACACAAGCCTCCGTCTTCAGGTGGAACCATCACAGCTCGCTCGCTGCATCAAGTAAATGAGAAATTCCAAGAGATCCGACCTTGTACATATACTGGTTGAGGGGGGAGGAGCCAGGACAGGCCCCTGGATAGGAGTTTTTTTGTTATTATTATGGGAAGGTTGGTGCGGCTGAAGCTACGGCTAGTCTGATTTACTCTCTGCGCGATACGCTCGCGGCGCGGGCGAACATTCATCTATTAATGTTTTTGTGCGCGCGTGTCGTACCCACAATGATTGGAGTCGCCCACACATGGCAGGGCGCCGATCGCTGTCCACCGCTCTTTACCACTCTTCACACACACAGCGCGTCAACCGACAATCTGGCACCGAGGTTTTCATTTCCGGCGCGATTAGCGCTTTACTTCATGGTGGTGAGGTTCCCACACTAAACTTTCCTCGTGTGGTGGTGGAAGAGGTCCGACGTTTCGTGCCGCTAACACGCGCGGTTGACTTGCGCGCGGCTGTGATCGCGCGAGCCACCGACTTCCCCCCCCCCCTCCTTGTTCGAGGCCGAAGCAAATTGTATTCGTCCCAGATTCATCCATAGCTGGTGGGGGGTGAGGCTCTATGACCACGGGAGATGGGTCAATCTCCTTGGTGATGTCCCCTTCATCTTTCAGACGCTGTCTTTCCGACAGACCTGTTCGTCACCTGAGGACGGCTGCTTGCGTTGTGGCCGAAACGTCGTGAGAATGATTTTATTATGTTTTATTTTTATTATTTTATTATTTCCATTCTATGTGACTTTACCGAAAGAACTAAGAAGATACTCTCTCTATTCTTGGTTTTTTCGGTAAAGTCACGTAGGTAAAAAATTAAAATTAATAAAAGTCAAATAAAAATAAAATCACGATGTTTCGGAGGCAACACAAGCCTCCGTCTTCAGGTGGAACCGTCACAGCACGCTCGCTGCATCAAGTAAATGAGAAATTCCAAGAGATCCGACCTTGTACATATACTGGTTGAGGGGGGAGGAGCCAGGACAGGCCCCTGGATAGGAGTTTTTTGTTATTATTATGGGAAGGTTGGTGCGGCTGAAGCTACGGCTAGTCTGATTTACTCTCTGCGCGATACGCTCGCGGCGCGGGCAAACATTCATCTATTAATGTTTATGTGGGCGCGTGTCGTACCCACACTGATTGGAGTCGCCCACACACGGCAGGGCGCCGATCGCTGTCCCACCGCTCTTTACCACTCTTCACACACACAGCGCTTCAACCGACAATCTGGCACCGAGGTTTTCATTTCCGGCGCGATTAGCGAACCCTTGATAGTTGGTTTTTTACCCTTTTATCTGGGAACAAAACTGACGCCTTTTCTTTTTCACAAGGAGTCATGTTTGCATTGACCACTGCCTGCGGTCGGAATGCAAACAAAAAAACACAACTCTGATCATGTATGCACTGTCCTTGAAGTTGATTGGTCCACACCCGAGACAGCTTTTCTTAGAGCCTAGTCTCACATGGTGTTGAACCAGATGACGCCAAAAGGCGCACAACTCAAAGACAATGCACCAGCAGAGTATGAGAGCTCGGTAGTTAGCATTTACATCATTGGAACCTCATTTGCCAGTAGCAAAATATGATAATTGGTTTTTTACCCTTTTATCTGGCAACAAAACTGACACCTTTTTTTACAAGGAGTAATGTTTGCATAGACCACAATGCCTGCAGTCATAATGCAAACAAAACACGTTCCTTCGTAGTGGGCAGGTAGGAACTTGGTTGGACAGCGCATTCGTGCACGACAGACAGACAAATAATCACTGGTGGGCAAGTGTGCAACCTGTTGTTCCTACCTGTATGTATAAAAGATAACTTGACTTTAGGCAGCCAGGCAGACAGCCCCCTTAACTATCGCCCCCCCCCTCCCTTAGGCCCCTCCCCTGACCCCCCTTCCCTTAGGCCCCTCCCCTGACCACCCCTTCTCTTTGGCCCCTCTGCTGACCCCCCCCAGGCCCCTCTCCTGGCTCCCCCCCTTAGGCCCCTCCGCTGACCCCCCCCCTTAAGCCCCTCCGCTGACCCCCCCCTCAGGCCCCTCCGCTGACCCCCCCCCCCCCCCTCAGGCCCCTCTCCTGACCCTCCTCCCTTAGGCACCTCCCCTCTCCGTACCCGGCAGTAGGTCTCCACCAATCAAAGAGCTGTTTATGTTATATATTTATTTATGCACGACAGACAGACAAATCATCCCTGGTGGGCAGTGTGGAACATTGTTCCTACCTGTAAAACACAACTCTGATAATGTATGCACTGTCCTTGAAATTGATTGGTCCACACCCGAGACAGCTTTTCTTAGAGCCTAGTCTCCATTAGTGTTGGACCAGATGACGCCCCCCCCCCCAGCTACCCCCTCCAAACAGCGCCTAACCTCTTATCACCTAACCCTCGCAATGTGCGATTAGCCCCACGCTAGGGCTGACGGTGAACGGGGCTGACTCACCCCCCGCCCCCCCCCCCCCCCCCCCGTACTATCACCTCGCAGCTGCCCAGATGAATCGTTCGCAGCGGCACCCAACGAACGTCACACAGACGCCGAGGGCGGTTGGTGTTCACCGCTACTCCAGAGGAAGAACTCTTGATTTAATTTTGTCTCTCTCTCTATCCTCTCCTTATCTTCGCAAGATATCCCTTAATGCCCTGATGACGTGACGTCATCCTGCGCGTCCAATCGAATGCTTTTTTGCAGCCGTTTTCGAGCGCCCTGCCCGTTACGGGATGTGCACTACATCACCCCCCCCCCCTTTCCATTGTCCTTGCAGCGGCGTTCCTTATCGCCGACTCGCCGTTTTAATCGAATACACCGGGAGGGGCACCCGCGGGCATTTCTTCCCCCCCCCCCTTGTCCCACTGTGTGTGCTGTCCGCAGGGGCGTTTGCCTTGGGGACCCCTCCCCTCCCCCGTGTCACGTATTCTTCATCCCGTAAATCGCTCTGCCCCATTTTTGGGGGGCCGCCATGTAATCCGGCCTGGGGGGGGGGGGGGTCCGGCCAATCTTCTGTTGCTGCCGCAGCAGCTTCTGCCGCTGCTGCCGCAGGAGCTTCTATTGCCGCTGCTGCCGCGCTGCAGCTTCTGCTGCCGCCGCTGCAGCTTCTGCTGCCGCCGCTGCAGCTTCTGCTGCCGCCGCTGCAGCTTCTGCTGCCGCCGCTGCAGCTTCTGCTGCCGCCGCTGCAGCTTCTGCTGCCGCAGCTGCAGCTTCTGCTGCCGCAGCTGCAGCTTCTGCTGCCGCAGCTGCAGCTTCTGCTGCCGCAGCTGCAGCTTCTGCTGCCGCTGCTGCAGCTTCTGCTGCCGCTGCTGCAGCTTCTGCTGCCGCTGCTGCAGCTTCTGCTGCCGCTGCTGCAGCTTCTGCTGCCGCTGCTGCAGCTTCTGCTGCCGCTGCTGCAGCTTCTGCTGCCGCTGCTGCAGCTTCTGCTGCCGCTGCTGCAGCTTCTGCTGCCGCTGCTGCAGCTTCTGCTGCCGCTGCTGCAGCTTCTGCTGCCGCTGCTGCAGCTTCTGCTGCTGCTGCCGCTGCAGCTTCTTTCGCTGCAGCCTCTGCTGCAGCTTCTGCTGCCGCTGCTGCCGCTGCAGCTTATGCTGCCGCTGCAGCCGCTGCTGCCGCTGCAGCCTCTGCTGCCTCTGCTTCCACTGCTGCAGCCGCTGCTTCCGCTGCTGCCGCAGCAGCTTCTGCTGCCGCAGCAGCTTCTGCTGCCGCCTCTGCAGCCTCTGCTGCCGCCTCTGCTGCCGCCGCTGCAGCCTCTGCTGCCGCCGCTGCAGCCTCTGCTGCCGCCGCTGCAGCCTCTGCTGCCGCCGCTGCAGCCTCTGCTGCCGCCTCTGCTGCCGCCTCTGCTGCCGCCTCTGCTGCCGCCTCTGCTGCAGCCTCTGCTGCCGCCGCTGCAGCCTCTGCTGCCGCCGCTGCTGCCGCCTCTGCTGCCGCCTCTGCTGCCGCCTCTGCTGCCGCCGCTGCAGCCTCTGCTGCCGCCTCTGCTGCAGCCTCTGCTGCCGCCTCTGCTGCCGCCTCTGCTGCCGCCTCTGCTGCCGCCTCTGCTGCCGCCGCTGCAGCCTCTGCTGCCGCCGCTGCTGCCGCCTCTGCTGCCGCCTCTGCTGCCGCCGCTTCAGCCTCTGCTGCCGCCTCTGCTGCCGCCTCTGCTGCCGCCTCTGCTGCCGCCGCTGCAGCCTCTGCTGCCGCCGCTGCAGCCTCTGCTGCCGCCGCTGCAGCCTCTGCTGCCGCCTCTGCTGCCGCCTCTGCTGCCGCCTCTGCTGCCGCCGCTGCAGCCTCTGCTGCCGCCGCTGCAGCCTCTGCTGCCGCCGCTGCAGCCGCCGCTGCAGCCTCTGCTGCCGCCTCTGCTGCCGCCGCTGCCGCCTCCGCTGCCGCCGCTGCAGCCTCCGCTGCCGCCGCTGCAGCCTCCGCTGCCGCCGCTGCAGCCTCTGCTGCCGCCGCTGCAGCCTCTGCTGCCGCCGCTGCAGCCTCTGCTGCCGCCGCTGCTGCAGCCTCTGCTGCCGCCTCTGCTGCCGCCTCTGCTGCAGCCTCTGCTGCCGCCTCTGCTGCAGCCTCTGCTGCCGCCTCTGCTGCAGCCTCTGCTGCCGCCTCTGCTGCAGCCTCTGCTGCCGCCTCTGCTGCAGCCTCTGCCCTGCCAGCCTCTGCTGCCGCCTCTGCTGCAGCCTCTGCTGCCGCCTCTGCTGCAGCCTCTGCTGCCGCCTCTGCTGCCGCCTCTGCTGCAGCCTCTGCTGCCGCTGCAGCCTCCGCTGCAGCCTCTGCTGCCGCTGCACCCTCTGCAGCCTCCGCTGCCGCCTCTGCTGCCGCCTCTGCTGCCGCTGCAGCCTCTGCAGCCTCTGCTGCCGCTGCAGCCTCTGCAGCCGCTGCAGCCGCTGCAGCCGCTGCAGCCGCTGCAGCCGCTGCCGCCGCTGCAGCCGCTGCCGCCGCTGCAGCCGCTGCTGCAGATTCTGCCGCTGCAGCTTCTGCCGCTGCAGCCTCTGCTGCCGCTGCAGCTTCTGCTTCAGATTTTCCATTTGACATTTGAAGTTGTCCATTCCTCCACTTGTTGTGTATCTACCGCTGCGGACTTTCCGCACAGGAGCTCGCCCCACGGGGCAAGGCGGCGAGGAAGGTGGCCGTGGGGGGCTAAACGTCCGGGGCCGGCAGCCCTGGGCATATCCCGCGCTCAGAGGTCGCAAACGGGTTTTGATTCCTTACCCGTACCCGGCCGCACCAGGGTCGCAAATGGGTACCCGTACACGTAACCGGCCGGGTACGGGTAGCCGTTCCCTACCCATACCCTACCCGAAACGAGTGACAAACGGTTACTCACCAATGACTCGCGGCCTACCCGTACCCGGCCGCACCAGGGTCGCAAATGGGTACCCCCGTACCCGTACCCGGCCGGGTACGGGTACGGGTACCCCCGTACCCGTACCCGGCCGGGTACGGGTACGGGTACACGTTCCCTACCCGTACTCGTACTCTACCCGAAATGAGTGACAAACGGTTACTCACCAGTGACTCACGAGGGGGAGGAGGATGATCTGAGCATGCTGCTGCTGCTGCTTCGTCGTCGTCTTGATGATGTTTGTGTCTACGAACAAAGCGGCGCCACAGATCGACTTTCTGTTGCACAGCGGCACAACGCAAAGCGAAGCAATGGGGGGGGGGGGGGTGTTTGGCCAAACTAAAAAACACCGAAATGACGAACGAATCAAAGTTGCGACTAAACCGAGCGGCGTCTTCGTCTTCTTGCTGCTGCTGCTTCTGATGATTATGGTGCAGCTGCTGCGTCTGATGATGATGATGATGCTGCTGCTTCTGCTGATGATGATGATCGTAAAACAAACAAACAAAGAACTCCGGGCACCCTCGTGGTGTGAGCTTCAGGAGGAGTGCTGCCAGGTTTGGTGGTTGTGACGCTTTGGAGTTGTGTGGTTGGGGTTGGTGGTTGTGTGGTTGTGACGCGTGTGGTTGGTGGTTGTGATGCGTGTGGTTGTGGGTTGTGCGGTTGGTGGTTGTGTGTGGAGCGTGTGCAATTCACTACGTTCGTGAGAGTTGAGCGGAGGGGGGGGCAGTCTGTGTGGTGAGTCTATGAGTATGAGTGTGAGTCTGTGGCTCTCTGTGCGTGTGAGTCTGAGTGTGATGAGTCTGTGGCTCTCTGTGCGTGCGAGTCTATGGCTCTGTGCGTGAGTCTCTGTGTGAGTCTGTGGGTCTCTATGAGTGAGTCTATGGCTCTCTGCGTGAGTCTCTGTGGGAGTGTCCGCGAATTTGCTTCGTGGGGGATGTTTGTGTCGCGTGGATTTGATGTTTTCTCTTTTCAATCGCAGCGTGCCGAGCGCAGCCGCCCGGCACGCGAGGCGGCCAGCCACAAACAGCACTAATTGAAGTTGTGTCAAGGAGAATAAAAGAGCGTGATATTAAGGCGTTGTCGTGGAGTTATTGGTGGTGGTGGTTGGTGGTTGATGATGATGATGGTGGTGGTGGTTGATGGTGGTGGTTGATGGTGATGGTGGTGACAAAGGAGTGAGATGGAACAGATGGAGACTAATCCACACTCTGCTGCTGTAGAAGGGAGTGAGATGGAACAGATGGAGATTAGTCCACACACTCTGCTGCTGAAGAATGGAGTGAGATGGAACAGATGGAGATTAGTCCACACAAAGTGAGTGAGATGGAACAGATGGAGATTAGTCCACACACACTCTGCTGTAGAAGGGAGTGAGATGGAACAGATGGAGATTAGTCCACACTCTCTGCTGCTGTAGGAGGGAGTGAGATGGAACAGATGGAGATTAGTCCACACACTCTGCTGCTGTAGAAGGGAGTGAGATGGAACAGATGGAGATTAGTCCACACACTCTGCTGTAGAAGGGAGTGAGATGGAACAGATGGAGATTAGTCCACACACTCTGCTGCTGTAGGAGGGAGTGAGATGGAACAGATGGAGATTAGTCCACACACTCTGCTGTAGGAGGGAGTGAGATGGAGATTAGTCCACACTCTGCTGCTGTAGAAGTGAGTGAGATGGAACAGATGGAGATAAGTCCACACTCTCTGCTGCTGTAGAAGGGAGTGAGATGGAACAGATGGAGATTAGTCCACACTGCTGCTGAAGAATGGAGTGATATGGAACAGATGGAGATTAGTCCACACTCTCTGCTGCTGAAGAATGGAGTGAGATGGAACAGATGGAGATTAGTCCACACTCTGCTGCTGTAGAATGGAGCGAGATGGAACAGATGGAGATTAGTCCACACTCTCTGCTGCTGTAGAAGGGAGTGAGATGGAACAGATGGAGATTAGTCCACACACACTCTGCTGTAGAAGGGAGTGAGATGGAACAGATGGAGATTAGTCCACACTCTCTGCTGCTGTAGAAGGGAGTGAGATGGAACCGATGGAGATTAGTCCACACTCTCTGCTGCTGTAGAAGGGAGTGAGATGGAACAGATGGAGATTAGTCCACACTCTATGCTACTGTAGAAGGGAGTGAGATGGAACAGATGGAGATTAGTCCACACTCTCTGCTGCTGTAGAAGGGAGTGAGATGGAACAGATGGAGATTAGTCCACACTCTATGCTACTGTAGAAGGGAGTGAGATGGAACAGATGGAGATTAGTCCACACTCTCTGCTGCTGTAGAAGGGAGTGAGATGGAACAGATGGAGATTAGTCCACACTCTATGCTACTGTAGAAGGGAGTGAGATGGAACAGATGGAGATTAGTCCACACAAAGTGAGTGAGATGGAACAGATGGATATTAGTCCACACAAAGTGAGTGAGATGGAACAGATGGAGATTAGTCAACACTCTCTATGCTGCGGTTAGGCTCGTTACCGTAGTTACTGTGATGCTCGTTACCGTATTACCCCGCTAAGCGCCTTAGCCCGGCTGATCTGTCTATTCATGGCTGGGCGCGTTCATTGTGAGTGTGTCTGTGAGTGTCTGTGTGACTGTGTCTGTGTGACTGTCTGTGTGTGTGTGTCTGTGTGACTATCTCTGTGAGTATGTGTGCGTGTGTGAGTGTTTGTGTGTGTGTCTGTCTGTGTGAGTGTTTGTGTGTGTGTCTGTCTGTGTGAGTGTTTGTGTGTGTGTGTGTCTATGTGTGTGAGTGGGTAGGGTAGTGGTTAACACTACGCTACGAACCTGGCGACCCGAGTTTTCTCTTTTGTGTGGTGAGTGAATGGGTAGGTGGGTGGTAGAGTGAATGGGTGAGTTAGAGAATGAGTGAGTGACAGAATGGGTGAGTGAGTGTACGGGTGGGTGGGTGAGTGAATGGGTGAGTTAGAGAATGGGTGGGTGAGTGAATGGTTGAGTGAACGGGTGCTTGGGTGAGTGAGTGAATGGGTGGGTTGGTGAGTGAATTGGTGGGTGGGTGAGTGGGTGAATGGATGGGTGAGTGAGTGACTGGGTGAATGAGTGGGTGAGTGAATGGGTGAGTGAGTACATGGGTGAGTTGGTGAGTGAATGGGTGGGTGAGTGAGTGAATGAGTAAGTGAGTGAATGTGTGAGTTAGATAAGGGGTGGATGAGTGGGTGAGTTAGAGAGTGGGTGGGTGGGTGAGTTAGTGAGTGAATGGGTGAGTGAGTACATGGGTGAGTGGGTGAGTGAGTGTGTCTGTGTGTGTGGCACTTTGGGGAAGACAAAGGCGGCCGGGCGAGTGTGAGTGGTGCTGGCCACTCACCCCCTCTGTGTGTGGCCACAGTGGCAGAGGCCTTCATAGACGCTGCTAGAGGCTACCTGGGGGAGCTTTGTCTTTGTGTCTATAGGCGCTGCTGCTGCTGCTACTGACAGCACTTGCCCCTACATCACTGCGAGAGGCTACCTGGGGGAGCTTTGTCTTTGTGTCTATGGGTGCTACTGCTACTGACAGCACTTACCCCTACAGTATTGCTAGAGGCTACCTGGGGGAGCTTTGTCTGTGTATAGGCGCTGCTGCTGCTGACAGCACTTGCCCCTACAGCACTGCTAGAGGCTACCTGGGGGATCTTTGTCTTTGTGTATAGGTGCTACTGCTACTGACAGCATCCCTACAGCACCGCTAGAGGCTACCTGGGGGAGCTTTGTCTTTGTGTCTATAGGCGCTGCTGCTGCTGACAGCACTTGCCCCTACAGCACTGCTAGAGGCTACCTGGGGCACATTTGTATGTATATGTGCGCACATATAAATACAAAATCCGATTAGCGATTTTGTAACCATCTCAGCTCGAACACATCCGGGCCCATTCGGACACAATCCCCGTGTCTCTCTTTGTCTCTGTCAGTGTCTCTCTGTGTCTCTGTCAGTGTCTCAGTGTCTCTCTGTGTCTCTCTGTGTTTGTGTCTCTCTGTGTCTCTCTGTCTCACTGCAGTGTCTCTGTGTCTCAGTGTGTCTCACCGCGTGTCTCTCACCCCGTGTCTCTCCCCCCGTGTGTCTCTCCCCCATTGTCTCTCTCCCCCCGTGTCTCTCCCCGTGTCTCCCCCTGTGTCTCTCTCCCCGTGTGTCTTCCCGTGTCTCTCTCTCACCGTGTCTCTCCCCCCGTGTCTCTCGCCGTGTCTCCCCCCCCCCCCGTGTCTCTCCGCGTGTCTCTCTCTCTCTCCCCGTGTCTCTCTCACCGTGTCTCCCCCCCCCGTGTCTCTCCGCGTGTCTCTCTCTCCCCGTGTCTCTCTCTCCCCGTGTCTCTCTCTCTCCCCGTGTCTCTCTCTCCCCGTGTCTCCCCGTGTCTCTCTCTCTCCCCCCGTGTCTCTCTCTCCCCGTGTCTCCCCGTGTCTCTCTCTCTCCCCCCCGTGTCTCTCTCCCCGCGTGTCCCTCTCTCTCTGTTGAGGATGTCTCGTAAGCAAGCTCCGAGCAGACATCCCAGCCAAGGTGAGCGACGATTCGGGCGATCTCGATTTGACGCTTTGGTTGCTGCATGGATCCACACTCGGTGGGTTCTTTCGGTAAAACCACGTGGGTAGTTCGAGACAAAATAAAAAATAAAAATTGTTTTATTTTGATTCTGTGATGATGGCTTCTTGTGATAATTTCGAGATGGAATGGGTTCACGTGTTCTCACCTCGTCGTTTGCGAATTCGACTTTGAGTTTTTGTTGGCAAATCTGCCTTCAACAATTCAACAACTTTTTCGTTGATAATTTGATTTTTACCCTTCTATCTGGCAACAAAACTGACACCTTTTTTACAAGGAGTCATGTTTGCATAGACCACAATACCTGCAGTCATAATGCAAACAAAAAACACAACTCTGATAATATATGCACTGTCCTTGAAGTTGATTGGTCCACACCCGAGACAGCTTTCCTTAGAGCCTAGTCTCACATGGTGTTGGACCAGATGACGCCAAAAGGCGCACAACTCAAAGACAATGAACCATCAGAGTATGAGAGCTCGGGTAAGCATTTACACCATTGGAACCTCATTTGCCAGTAACAAAATATGATAATTGTTTTTTTACCCTTCTATCTGGCAACAAAACTGACACCTTTTTTACAAGGAGTCATGTTTGCTTACCCCGAGCTCTCATACTCTGATGGTGCATTGTCTTTGAGTTGTACGCCTTTTGGCGTCATCTGGTCCAACACCATGTGAGACTAGGCTCTAAGGAAAGCTGTCTCGGGTGTGGACCAATCAACTTCAAGGACAGTGCACATTATCAGAGTTATATTTTTGTTTGCATTATGACCGCAGGTATTGTGGTCTATGCAAACATGACTCCTTGTAAAAAAAGGTGTCAGTTTTGTTGCCAGATAAAAGGGTAAAAAAACAATGATCATATTTTTTACTGGCAAATGAGGTTCCAATGGTGTAAATGCTTGCCAGATAGAAGGGTAAAAAACCAATGATCATATTTTTTACTGGCAAATGAGGTTCCAATGGTGTAAATGCTTGCCAGATAAAAGGGTAAAAAACCAATGATCATATTATTTACTGGCAAATGAGGTTCCAATGGTGTAAATGCTTGCCAGATAAAAGGGTAAAAAACCAATGATCATATTTTTTACTGGCAAATGAGGTTCCAATGGTGTAAACTCTTCCGTTGTTTCGATAAAGTCCACGGAGGTAGACAAATCCAATGGATCTCGGCGTTTCGATCGCAACGCCAGCGTCCGTCACCGGGTGGGACAACCACAGCATGAAGCGAAGGCTTCAGGCAAATCGCGCTCACTGGCTCATGATGCTGATGATGATGATGCTGATGATGATGCTGATGATGCTGATGATGATGATGTAGATGATGATGATGCTGCTGATGATGCTGATGATGATGATGTAGATGATGATGATGCTGTTGATGATGATGCTGATTATGATGCTGCTGATGATGATGCTGATGATGATGATGCTGATGATGCTACTGCTACCTCCACCACCACCACCTCCTTCACCACCTCCACCACCACCACCACCTCCTTCACCACCTCCACCACCGCCACATCCACCACCACCTCGACCACCACCTCCTCCACCACCACCACCACCTCCACCCCAGAGCCCTCCACCTCCACCTCTTCTCCCAACCCTCTCCCCACTTCGTCCAAGGGCCGGGCGCCACCACCACCACAACAACCACAACAACAACAACCACAACAACAACCACAACAACAGCAGCGGTCATCGACGACACGTCGCTCCACCGACAGGGCCAAGGGGTCGAGCGGCAAGGGTGGACGATCTGGTGGTGGTGGAGGTGGTGGTGGTGGCGGAGGTGGTGGTGGTGGTGTCAATGCCGGTAAAATTCAGGACGGTCCATCATCATCATCAGCAGCGGCATCATCATCAGCGGCAGCGGCACCATCATCATCAGCGGCAGCTGTTGCTGCTGCGTTGGTAAGCGGCCGTGCTTCGAAAGGCCGCCACCGCCACCAGCAGCAGCAGCAAGACCCCCGATCAGCGTACGGCGAGCTGACTGAGCAAGATTTTACATCCATAGAGAACGTGTTTGGCCAGGTGGGTAGGTGGGTGAGTGGGTGAGTGAGTGGGGTTCACGGTGAGTGAGTGGGTGGGTGAGTGGGGTTCACGATGGCCGTGTGGGTGAGTGAGTGGGTGAGTGAGTGGGTGGGTGAGTGGGGTTCACGATGGCCGAGTGGGTGAGTGAGTGAGTGAGTGGATGAGTGAGTGAGTGGGTGAGTGGGTGGATGGGTGAGTGAGTGGGGTTCATGATGGCCGTGTGGGTGAGTGAGTGAGTGGGGTTCACGATGGCCGAGTGGGTGAGTGGGTGAGTGGGGTTCACGATGGCCGTGTGGGTGAGTGAGTGGGTGAGTGGGTGGGTGAGTGGGGTTCACAATGGTCGTGTGGGTGAGTGTGTAGATGAGTGGGTGAGTGGGTGGGTGGGTCAGTGGGGTTCACGATGGCCGTGTGGGTGAGTGAATTTCCCCTGTTCTGCAGTAAGAGTGAGTTTGAGAAAGAGTGAGTGTCTGTGTGTCTGTGTGTGTGTGTGTTTATGTGTGTCTGTGTGTGTGTCTGTGTGTGTGTCTGTGTGTGTGTCTGTGTGTGTCTGTGTGTGTGTCTGTGTGTGTCTGTGTGTGTGTGTCTATGTGTGTGTCTGTGTGTGTGTGTGTGTGTCTATGTGTGTGTCTGTGTGTGTGTGTGTCTATGTGTGTGTCTGTGTGTGTCTGTGTGTGTGTGTGTCTGTGTGTGTGTCTGTGTGTGTGTGTCTATGTGTGTGTGTGTCTGTGGGGAGCGGTGGTGTAGCGGTTAGCGCTACGCTGCGCTACGAACCCGGTGACCCGAGTTCGATTCCCGCTCACGGCCAACACAGGCCAGTGACGATTATCCGAACCGGTCCTGGGCCTCCCCTAGGTCGACTCAGCCTCAAATTAGTACCTGGTGCGGTGTGTAAACATCGCCACTGGGGAGACAAAGGCGGCCGGGCGTGGTGCTGGCCACCCACCCCCTCGTGTGCCGTGCCGGCCTTTATAGGTGCTCGCTAACAGCACTTGCCCCTACAGTCTGTTAGAGGCTACACGGGGGATCTTTGTCTTTGTGTTTTTGTTTCAGGACAGAGAGCTGGAACAAGGAGAAATGGACGGTGAGTGGTGGTGAGTGGTGGTGAGTGTGATGGTGGTGAGTGTGATGTGGGGGTGGTGAGTGGTGGTGAGTGTGGGGGTGGTGAGTGGTGGTGAGTAGGGGGGTGGTGAGTGGTGGTGAGTGTGGGGGTCCTGAGTGGTGGTGAGTGGGGGGGCGGTGAGTGGTGGGGGGGTGGTGAGTGATGGTGAGTGGTGGTGAGTGTGATGGTGGTGAGTGGTGGTGAGTGTGGGGGTGGTGAGTGGTGGTGAGTGGTGGGTGAGTGGTAGTGAGTTGTGGGTGAGTGGTGGGTGAGTGTGGGGGTGGTGAGTGGTGGGGGTGGTGAGTGGTGGTGAGTGTGGGGGTTGTGTGTGGTGGTGAGTGGTGGTGAGTGTGGGGGTGGTGAGTGGTGGTGAGTGGTAGTGAGTGGTGGGGGTGGTGAGTGGTGGTGAGCGGTGGTGGTTGAGTGGTGAATGGTGGTGAGTGATGAGTGGTGGTGATTGTGGCTGAGACGGTATTTGATAACTGCCATCTCCCCTCCCCCCCTCTCCCCCCTTCCCTCTCCCCCCTCCCCCCATCATTCCCCCCTCTCCCTCTCCCCCCTCTCCCCCCCCTCCTCCCTCTCCCCTCCCCCCTCCCCTCCCTCCCCCCGCCCCCCATCACTCCCCCCTCTCCCCCCCCTCCTCCCTCTCCCCTCCCCCCTCCCCTCCCTCCCCCCGCCCCCCATCACTCCCCCCTCTCCCCCCCCTCCTCCCTCTCCCCTCCCCCCTCTCCCCTTCCCCTCTCCCCCCTCCCCTCCCTCCCCCGGCCCCCCATCACTCCCCCCGCCCCCCATCACTCCCCCCTCCCCCCTCTCCCCCCTCCCCTCCCCCCTCCCCCCTCCCCTCCCCCCGCCCCCCATCACTCCCCCCCTCCCCTCTCCCCTGCCCCCCCTCTCCCTCCCCTCCCCTCTCCCCCCCCCTCCCCCCCTCCCCCCGCCCCCCAGAGCTGCGTGCGGCCTTCAAGGAGTACGACCGCGACTGTGACGGTTTCATCCGCAACGCCGAATTGGGCGCCCTGATGAGAGCCATGGGCTACATGCCCACGGAACTGGAGCTCACAGAACTATACCAGCACATCAACATGAACTGTGAGTGTCACTGTGTCACTCACTGTGTCACTCACTGTGTCACTCACTGTGTCACTCACTCACTGTGTCACTCACTCGCTGTGTCACTCACTGTGCCACTCACTCGCTGTGTCACTCACTCGCTGTGTCACTCACTCACTGTGTCACTCACTGTGTCACTCACTCGCTGTGTCACTCACTCGCTGTGTCACTCACTGATGAGAGTCATGGGCTACATGCCCACGGAACTGGAGCTCACAGAACTATACCAGCACATCAACATGAACTGTGAGTGTCACTGTGTCACTCGCTGTGTCACTCACTGTGTCACTCACTGTGTCACTCACTGTGTCACTCACTCACTGTGTCACTCACTCGCTGTGTCACTCACTGTGTCACTCACTCACTGTGTCACTCACTCACTGTGTCACTCAGTGTCACTCACTCGCTGTGTCACTCACTCACTGTGTCACTCACTCGCTGTGTCACTCACTCACTGTGTCACTCACTGTGTCACTCACTGTGTCACTCACTCGCTGTGTCACTCACTCACTGTGTCACTCACTCGCTGTGTCACTCACTGATGAGAGTCATGGGCTACATGCCCACGGAACTGGAGCTCACAGAACTATACCAGCACATCAACATGAACTGTGCGTGTCACTCACTCGCTGTGTCACTCACTCACTGTGCCACTCACTCGCTGTGTCACTCACTCGCTGTGTCACTCACTCACTGTGTCACTCACTCAATGTGTCACTCACTGTGTCACTCACTCACTGTGTCACTCACTCACTGTGTCACTCACTGTGTCACTCACTCGCTGTGTCACTCACTCGCTGTGTCACTCACTGTGTCACTCACTCGCTGTGTCACTCACTCGCTGTGTCACTCACTGATGAGAGTCATGGGCTACATGCCCACAAAACTGGAGCTCACAGAACTATACCAGCACATCAACATGAACTGTGAGTGTCACTCACTCGCTGTGTCACTCACTGTGTCACTCACTCACTGTGTCACTCACTCACTGTGTCACTCACTGTGTCACTCACTCGCTGTGTCACTCACTGATGAGAGCCATGGGCTACATGCCCACGGAACTGGAGCTCACAGAACTATACCAGCACATCAACATGAACTGTGCGTGTCACTCACTCGCTGTGTCACTCACTGTGTCACTCACTCACTGTGTCACTCACTGTGTCACTCACTCGCTGTGTCACTCACTCACTGTGTCACTCGCTGTGTCACTCGCTGTGTCACTCACTCGCTGTGTCACTCACTGTGTCACTCACTCGCTGTGTCACTCACTGATGAGAGCCATGGGCTACATGCCCACGGAACTGGAGCTCACAGAACTATACCAGCACATCAACATGAACTGTGCGTGTCACTCACTCGCTGTGTCACTCACTGTGTCACTCACTCACTGTGTCACTCACTCACTGTGTCACTCACTCGCTGTGTCACTCACTCACTGTGTCACTCACTCGCTGTGTCACTCACTGTGTCACTCACTCACTGTGTCACTCACTCACTGTGTCACTCGCTGTGTCACTCGCTGTGTCACTCACACGCTGTGTCACTCACTGTGTCACTCACTCGCTGTGTCACTCACTGATGAGAGCCATGGGCTACATGCCCACGGAACTTGAGCTCACAGAACTATACCAGCACATCAACATGAACTGTGAGTGTCACTCACTCGCTGTGTCACTCACTGTGTCACTCACTGTGTCACTCACTGTGTCACTCACTGTGTCACTCACTCGCTGTGTCACTCACTGATGAGAGCCATGGGCTACATGCCCACGGAACTGGAGCTCACAGAACTATACCAGCACATCAACATGAACTGTGCGTGTCACTCACTCGCTGTGTCACTCACTGTGTCACTCACTCACTGTGTCACTCACTGTGTCACTCACTCGCTGTGTCACTCACTGTGTCACTCACTGTGTCACTCACTGTGTCACTCACTCGCTGTGTCACTCACTCGCTGTGTCACTCACTCACTGTGTCACTCACTGTGTCACTCACTCACTGTGTCACTCACTCACTGTGTCACTCGCTGTGTCACTCGCTGTGTCACTCACTCGCTGTGTCACTCACTGTGTCACTCACTCGCTGTGTCACTCACTGATGAGAGCCATGGGCTACATGCCCACGGAACTTGAGCTCACAGAACTATACCAGCACATCAACATGAACTGTGAGTGTCACTCACTCGCTGTGTCACTCACTGTGTCACTCACTGTGTCACTCACTCGCTGTGTCACTCACTCGCTGTGTTACTCACTCGCTGTGTCACTCACTGATGAGAGCCATGGGCTATATGCCCACGGAACTGGAGCTCACAGAACTATATCAGCAAATCAACATGAACTGTGAGTGTCACTCACTCGCTGTGTCACTCACTCACTGTGTCACTCACTCGCTGTATCACTCACTGTGTCACTCACTCACTGTGTCACTCACTCACTGTGTCACTCACTGATGAGAGCCATGGGCTACATGCCCACAGAACTGGAGCTCACAGAACTATACCAGCACATCAACATGAACTGTGCGTGTCACTCACTCACTGTGTCACTCACTGTGTCACTCACTCGCTGTGTCACTCACTGTGTCACTCACTGTGTCACTCACTCACTGTGTCACTCACTGATGAGAGCCATGGGCTACATGCCCACAGAACTGGAGCTCACAGAACTATACCAGCACATCAACATGAACTGTGCGTGTCACTCACTCACTGTGTCACTCACTGTGTCACTCACTCGCTGTGTCACTCACTGTGTCACTCACTGTGTCACTCACTCGCTGTGTCACTCACTGTGTCACTCACTGTGTCACCGAGGTGATGGTGATGATGATGGTGGTGATGATGACGAAGTGATGGTGGTGGTGGTGACGATGTGAGTTGGAGGCAAGGTGATGGTGGTGATGATGATGGTGATGACGAGGTGATGATGACAAGGTGATGACGATGTGGGTTGGAGGCAAGGTGATGTTGGTGGTGATGGTGATGATGGTGAGATGATGGTGATGATGGTGGTGACGATGTGAGTTGGAGGCAAGGTGAACCTGGAGGTGAGGTGATGGTGATGATGGTGAGATGATGGTGATGGTGGTGACGATGTGAGTTGGAGGCAAGGTGAACCTGGAGGAGTTTGTGGAGCTGATGGTGATGATGATGGTGATGACGAGGTGATGGTGGTGGTGGTGGTGACGATGTGAGTTGGGGGCAAGGTGATGGTGATGATGATGGTGATGATGATGAAGTGATGGTGGTGGTGATGGTGACGATGATGATGATGGTGGTGATGATGACGATGATGATGATGGTGGTGATGATGACGATGTGATGGTGATGGTGATGATGACGAGGTGATGATGATGATGACGAGGTGATGGTGATGACGAGGTGATGGTGTTGGTGGTGACGATGTGAGTTGGAGGCAAGGTGAACCTGGAGGAGTTTGTGGAGCTGATGGTGAGGTGATGATGATGGTGAGATGATGGTGGTGACGATGTGAGTTGGAGGCAAGGTGATGATGGTGATGACGAGGTGATGATGATGGTGATGACGAGGTGATGGTGATGATGGTGAGATGATGATGGTGGTGGTGATGATGACGAGGTGATGGTGGTGATGACGATGTGAGTTGGAGGCAAGGTGATGGTGATGATGGTGAGGTGATGGTGATGATGATGACATGGTGGTGTTGACGATGTGAGTTGGAGGCAAGGTGAACCTGGAGGAGTTTGTGGAGCTGATGGGCCCCAAGCTCCTGGAGGAGACGGCGGCCATGATAGGACTCAAGGAGATGCGCGAGGCCTTCAAAGAGGTGACGTCATCAACATCGTCAACATCATCATCAACGTCATCATCAACATCACCATCGTCATCAACATCATCATCAACATCATCAACATCGTCAACATCAACGTCATCATCATCAACATCAATGTCATCATCATCGACGTCATCATCAACATCAGCATCAACTTTCTTGCTTCTTTCGGTAAAGTCACGTAGAAGGGAAGTAATAAAATAATAAAAATAAAACATAATAAAATAATTCTCACGACGTTTCGGCCACAACGCAAGCAGCCGTCCTCATCAACAACATCAACGTCATCATCAACATAATCATCAACATAATCATCAACATCATCATCGTCATCATCATCATCACCATCATCAACGTCATCATCATCACCATCATCAACGTCATCAACATCATCGTCATCATCAACGTCATCAACATCATAAACATCATCATCAACGTCATCAACATCATCATCAACATCGTCAACATCAACATCATCATCGTCTCGATTTAAAGCTTTCGTGACTGCAGGGATTCATCTTCTTGGTTCTTTCGGTAAAGTCACGTAGTAGGGAAGTAATAAAATAATAAAAATAAAACGTAATAAAATAATTCTCACGACGTTTCGACCACAACGCAAGCAGCCGTCCTCAGATGAAGAACATGTCTGTCGATAAGAACCAAGAAGATCATCACCGTCGTTATCATCATCATCAACATCCTCATCAACATCATCATCATCAACATCGTCATCATCATCAACATCATCATAAATGTCATCAACATCATCCCCTCCCATTTTCCGTCCCCCCCATCCCCCCTCCCCCATCCCCCCTCCCCCCCTCCCCCATCCCCCCTCCCCCCTCCCCCCTCCCTCCTCTCACCCCCCCCCCTCCTCTCACCCCCTCCCACAACTCTCTCTCTCTTCTCTCCCCCTCCTTCCCTCCCCCCTCCCCCTCCTTCTCTCCCCCCTCCCTCCCCTCACCCCTCCTCCCCTCACCCCCACCCCCCACTCCCTCACCCAACTCTCTCTTCTCCCCCCCTCTCCCCCTCTACCCCTCTCCCCCTCCCCTCACCCCCATCCCCCCTCCTTCCCTCCCTCCCCTCACCCCCCTCCCCTCACTCTCTCACCCAACTCTCTTCTCCCCCCTTCCCCCTCCCCCCCATCCCCCCTCCCCTCACGCCTCGCCCCCCTCCCCCCACTCCCTCACCCAACTCTCCCTCTTCTCCCCCCCTCCCCTCACCCCCTCCCCCATCCCCCCTCCCCCATCCCCCCCTCCCCCATCCCCCCCTCCCCCATCCCCCCTCCCCCATCCCCCATCTCCCCTCCCCCCTCCCCCCCACTCCCCAAACTCCCTCCCCTTCCCCCCACCTCCCTCCCCCATCTCCCCCCCACTCTCCCCCTCCCCCACTCCCCCCTCCCCCCACTCCCCCTCCCCCACTCCCCCCTCCCCCATCTCCCCTCCCCCCACTCCCCCCTCCCCCATTCCCCCCCTCCCTCACCCCCCACTCCCCCCTCCCTCACCCCCCCACTCCCCTCCTCCTCCCCCCCACTCCTC